TGCTTTTCCAAGTCATTCACAAAATGTGGTGTTATCTGCATTGATGTCCCCTTTCTCCCAGCATAGTTCTCACAGATACTGGAAAGGTCTGTCAGCATTCGTGCTTTGACAGGGACTGTATAAGAAGGGTACTGTGAACACAGATTTATAGGCTGGTAATGCCATATCTGGTTTTGAGTTGTTTTGGAATCCAGAGTGATCCCTTTGGGTGCACAAGAAACATTTCATCATTTGACTCCAATTTTCTGCACTTCTATTTTGGTTTGCTTTTGTCAATTGGACACGCAGTTTTCCATTCTCACACTACTTGTTCAGTCATTCGGTTTAGACTGAATAGCACAGCACACAGTAAACCTGTTATGTAAAGAAATGCTACTTTCAATCCTGTTGGGCAGCACTTAAGTACATGCCCAGGAAATCTCTGAAGAGATTATTGATACTGCCAGTTTTGTTTCTAATGTGTTGGGTTTCACAGCTGTAGAATGTTGCAGTGCCCTTGTTATGCCATTGCTAATGACTTGAAGCAGTCTCTGAAGTGTCAGAAAGCTAGGTTCCTGTGTCTGTAACTTGGGATTCCTTGCTGCTTTTAGAACTGGCAGCTGGAAACCATGCAGAGCAGAGATGGGAGTTTGTTATGAGTGGGGGTGAAGTGGGTGAAGTAGTAGTCATCCTCCCAGCATCAGGCCTGGTGGGTGATTTATAACTACTCACCCAAGGATCTAAGTTTCAAAATGGTACAGAGAGGTAAGTCATGTGGACCCCTGGAACACAACGAGACTTCACCCAGGATCTTCAAAAAGTGCGTATATCATCTTTGTTGTTTGTTTGTTTGGGTTGTTTGTCATGTTTGCAATATATCAGGAAATTGAAGACATAGTTCTTCTACTCCTGGTTGCATGATGGAAGTGATGAAGTGTTGGTTGTATAGAGGGAGAAGGCTTCCTTCCTTTTCCTATCTGTTAGATATGGTTGCTATTATACCCGAGTCCAATGGAAATGCAGGCAATTGTATGTTAATTGAATTAAATGTTCTTTAGACTAGATCTTAGTGCAAGTAATGGCAGGGGGAGACAACTTCTGTGTAACCTGAAGCCTTGCTATTATTTAGAAATGCATCAGGCTCTTCAGTAGAACTTTTTTTTTTTTTTTTTTTTTTTTTTTTGCCACAGGAGGCTAATTGTATTAATTTAGTAGGTAGCTATTTCTATTTTATGAGCAAATTGTGGTCTCCTACTGGTGTAACTATGGAATATTGAAGTCAGTAGAACAGGTCTAGATTTACGCAATGGAAACAGTAGCAAAAGGAGGACTTAGAGAATATATTTTGTCTTTCCATTTCTGTTCATCAGTTCAAGCATCCACACTGGAAAATTTGTCTTTCCATGTGCTTGGTGCAGAATATTTCAGTGCCTTTGAGACAGATAAATGGCATTTCTGGTATTCTCTTCTTTTTTTTTTTTTTTTTTTGCTAGGGTAAACTTTGCAAACTTGTTCAGTCTCGTCAGTACTCAAGGAAGTTTAGTGTGTCAGTATGTTTTTGCCTTTAATTTTTTACCCCACACTGGGCCATTAAGCTTTCCAATTCAGATGCAACAGTCTTGGAACTGCTGTTTCTGAAAGGTGAAGGAGAAGCACAGGTTCCAGAGATGCAAGTCATACACCTATAGACATGTTTGTACATTCACTGATGGTGTTTAACAAGACAAAGATTTAAATCCTTAGTTGAGATGATACAACCTTCATTTTTAGCTGTTGTGTAGCTCTGTTTCAGATGTTCTTTATGCTGTAGGAATCAAGATTCCTCAGAATGAGAAATTAATGGAAACTATTGGGCATAAATTCAATTTTAATACGCTTCGCTTTGAGTTGTATAATTTCTTATACTGATGTTAAAAGTTGAAAACAACAACAACAAAAAAAAACAAACAAAAAAACCCAAAAACCCAAACCTCAACAAAAAACCCCCACAAACACCCCATGCCCTCAAATTTATTTGAGAAGGCCTGTTGTACAAACATGGATTTAAAGTTGTGCCCTGCATACTAGCCAGTGCTAACACCTATAAAGAAGTTAGAAATAGAACCAGTGGTACTATTTGGGATATGCTGGATCCATTCTCCTTGCCATTTAAGAGTCAATCTTCATTTTTGAAGTGGTTCCTCTTTCTTCAATCCTTGAAGGTGTTTTTATCAGTCCAGCATTACATTCAATAGGTCTGGGCTTCCAACCTATTTTTAGAATTTGTTTGTTACTCTAAGATGTAGTAAATCAGCATTAATGTACTGAAGTTGATACATAGAGGAATGTTAAACAACTTTGTCATATCAAACTGTAGCTTAGGCTGTTCAAATGTGTAACTTTGAGTAGATAAGGTGTGAGACTTACAATTTAATACACAATGTTAATGAATCTTCTTGCATCTGGGGTGAACTTTGTTCTGTTACTGTTCTTCACCACAAATGAAAATATGATAATTGAAGGCTCCAAGTTACTTGAGATGAGATGCAGCATATATTTAAACTGTTGTCCTATGAAGAGCTTTACAGGTTCTTTAACTTCTTCATGTTCTTCTCTATCTTTTTGGTCAAACAATGACATTTTCTTTTCTACATAGAAAGAATGCATAAAAAATAGGTTTGGACAATCTAGCTAATGGGAATGTTATATATATGTCGAACTAGATCATAGAAAACATGGCTTGTTATTCAGTGGCTCATGCAGATCTGTAACACTGAGGGTCAGGCTTTCCAGGAGAAGTTGCCAGGCTAACAGAAGTGTGTATTACTAGAGGCTGTTTGTCTGTAGAAGATCGATAACCTGCAGCAATGACTAGTGCAGGCAGAGTATAAAGCACTTTTTCAAACAGCCTTTTATAAACAGTTGTTAAGTCATCTGTTTAATATTGATTGTCTTTTTAGGGGTGTTACTTATTCATTTATTTTTAAACCCTTGGTTGTAATATCCACCTGGTTTAAAGACAAGTTTTCCATTTAGTTGGTAAAAGCCTATGCTTTTGTGTCCTCTTGTGTGTGTGTCTTCATATGCTTCCAGTCTGTATGCTTTTTAAAGAGCCTGTTGAAAAGGCAAAGCAATCCTCTAACCTTCCAATGTGATCGGCTAAGTGTGGCTTAGTTTTTGTCTGGAGGTGAGGTAGTACTCAGATCTGTTGTTCTTTTTACACAATAAATCATGTTTTTCTTCTGAGATCCCTTTCCATGCAATGCATAGCCTCTGTGCTTCCATTGTCTTTCTGTGAATTGCATTTGGAGGAAGGAAGGGTTGGGGGAAAGGGAGTCATGGTGACCTTGCTCTTTTGTCATTACTTTAACACCATCACAGGAAAAGCTTTTGGTAATTTCACTTCTGTAATCATTGTGAGGCTTACTAGCCAAAATCTCTTTTTTTACTTGACTTAAAAAGAAAGGCTATCAAAATTAGCAGAATGAGTCTAAGACCAATAGTTTGCAGTAAAGCACAGAGCGCTTGAGATTGGATAAGGAAGACTGAAGTTGACCTCTGCCTCGTATGTGTTCTAAGTGAGATGCCAGAGATGTCAGAGCAAAACTATCCCTCTTCCACTAATCCACTTCCTTCCCTCCCCACCATGTAAGTAAGTGGAAGAGTACCGAAGTGGATTGATGCTTCTGGAACATAGTCTGCAAGACTAGGTTGCAAAAAAACCAGTGGCAGAACCATCTTTCATCACCCCTGCTTAACTAGCATGGCACAATAGTCATTAGAAGAGAGTGCTAGCAGGGCAAATGGCTACAGCAGGAACTTGATGCTTTATGGTGATGGCTTTATTCTGATGTGCTCATGAGTCATTTGTGCTCCACACTT